GGCTGGAACAGCAGCAGCTGCCGCGCCGCTCCACCACACAAACAACAAAATTCATCGGGGAAGTTTTCCAAAACAAATGCCAACCAGACAGCTCTCCAGTGCTCCTGCTTGACAGAAAAAGATCCATTAAAGGACATCAAATATTCATCTGTCATACGGCACAGAGCTTGTGGCTTTCTATCCGCAGTGCTTTGTAGCTGCTGCATAAAACAACAAAAAAGCCCGAGAACAATAAAGTATATTTGGCTGTGCCTGATACAACACCTGGAAACAAATGTGTATTTATGTAGGAGTAAAAATACATGTATCACGCAAATGACTCACGATAACAATCATAGTCTTTATTCTGGGAGTTATTCATTAAATATTTTGATTCTTTAATGACAAAAAAGAAAAAAAAAACTGATAAATGGTCAGAAATTTTGACTTTTTTTTTCCTGCACCTTCATTAACCTGTCAATATTAAGCTCATTGTGAGAAGCTAATGATGAAGACAATGACATCACCATGTGGCTCACTGACTCCAAACTGTCAATAAAAACCCCATCAATTAATTAAACCTGGACATCTCAGACCGTGACCATATCTTAAATTTCTTTTTTTTTTTTTTTTTTTTTTTTTCTTTTGAGCTGCTAATTGGCTTTGCAGCCTCCAGGCTCAATCTTAAGACATTATCTACTTTCAATCAAGAAGGTTGTGTTGTTTTAAACGATCGGACACTTGATCAGATTTCCAATTTCTAATGAATATTGAAACATTTATAATTGCTTAGACCTAAATTTGTCAGACCAACAATAGCCTCTTGTAATATTTACGCCTATGCTGTGTTAAATATTTCATCATGTGTACCGGTAGCACCGGCTGTCAAATCTTCACCAGGAGGCAGCATTAGCACATTTTTCACACTGCAGGTTCATATGAAGTTCATCTTCTGTAATCCACCTCTCCCTGTGCCGACACTTTCTGCATGTTTATCGAGTGGCCTTGAGGCATAAAACCCATTTCACACTTCTGTCAAAACTGGTCAGTGATACTTCACATGTACAAACACCTGCCAATAAGCTAATACGGTCACTGTTGGCTGGGAACCTTATGATATTTAAGAAAATGAAATAGTCACCTGAAATCTTAAGACAGAAATGTTATAAAATACGCCATTCTTGCTTTCAAGATATAAAAGTATTTTAATTATTATAAACCTTGTAAAAAATACATAAAAAGCCTTCTTTTCAGCAACTTAAAACAAGAAATTTGACCAGTGATTCACCATGTGGATATATGTCTCAAATGTAGATTTATTAGAAGCACCTGCGCTAATGTTTTGTCACGGTTTCACCCAGAATCAAAGCCTTTGCTGTAAAAGCAAAATTATAGCATGAAGGGCCAAAAGGGTCACAGTCCAGTAAATTAATAAATATTTTATCTATTTATTCAGTATATGTAATCATTTTAATAAAATATCTCTAACTCTTCAGCAGTCAGTCATGGTCTGCAACACGTTTGTTCTAAACAAACAGATTACGCACTGTTTTAAAGTTATAAAACGGTTCCTACTGAAATTTATAAAATTGCAAATTACCATATGGTTATTTTAATTAAGTTCAGTTCAAAAATACTTTATTAATCTCAGAAGGAAATTAAATAAATTATACCATCCAAGCTTCTTTAAAGAGTCAATGTAAATGGTGGTTGTGGGCAAGAAAGAAGCACAGCCTGTATTTTTCTGTTATTTCACATATGAAAAAGTCTCTGATTAAAGATACTCTACTGATGAAATGCAGTCTCATTAAAACATGGTCAGTGTTCTCCATTATGTTCTTCATGTTATGAAGCATTCATTTTGGAACAATCATCTCTAGAGGCTCCGGAGCAATTCCCGGAACAGAGCCGGCCTTCTTTGTCAGCTTGTTGGATCTTTTTGGAGTCATTGACTGTGAGGCTGCTTGTGCTCTCCACAAAAGAAGATTAGCAGACTTTTTAAAAGACATGTAGCAGAGATTTGAGGTTTCAGTCTCCCACTTGAAACACATGAATAAATAAAAATACTTCAGACTTGACTTAGACTTGTGCTCAGAAGTCTTGGGACATGACTTGCCTGAGACGTGGGTCTTATTAACAGTCTTTATGGAAGCCGGTGTGCGAGCAACAGACTGCTACTGTGTGCCATGTAAATGCGCTTGATTACTGCCAGTGATATTAGTAAATTATGGGCTACTAATGGCTCATATAAATCAGTTCATGTTAACTGTAGCCTCGTAAAAATTACAACATCAATGTGTCATGAGTCACAGGTGTTTGTGTTTTCATTTACTTTTGGGTTTGTCTTCAGTACTTCTGAGTGCCTTATTATATAGTTTAGTTATAGTTTAGTTTTCTTCCTGGTTCAACACACCTGAATCAAACAATGGCTCGTCCACTCCCTTTGTAGAACGCTGACATGCTAAGGACGCAGTAACGACCACCAAGGAGCCAACTAAAGCTGCTGTACCAAAGTAAAATCTCACTAACCGGCGTAAGTCTGGTTCAAAAAAATAAAAAAAAATACTTGTGAACATCACTGATATGTAGCACCTGTGTGTGAGCAGTGAAATAGCACAGTCTGAACTGTGCTTTCTTACATGTAGCATCATGGTTCCATCCCCATTACAGTTTGGTGTTTAGGTGAAGCCCGAGGCATCAATGCTCCTCTGTCCCCTCCACTTTGAAATATGAATCTTTCTCATGAAATCTACAGATATCTGCTTTGCTTAGTCAACATTTAAGATTGAATGATTGTTCTGACACCATGTCACAAAGTGTTCCACCAGCTCTCTGTTCGAAGGCTTTTGCTCATCTGATTATTTCTGTACGTGACAGAACTTTGTCTTGTACTGGAGACTGGAAGGCTGAGATGTATAGAGTGAAAAGTGACAGTCGGAGGAGATTTCCTCTGGTTCTAATGTGAACAGTGCCTTAAGCCTCAAACTCTTCACTCATATGTGCTGTGGTGACGAACGAGGAGGACAACTGCGACACAGATGTGGTAGATACTGGGCTGAGCTGAACACATCAGCATATCACCTAGGAAAAGTAAATATAACTTCACACGCATGTCAAAGTCCTCTGCAACCAAGCCCGAAATATTCCACAGAGAAAGACATAAAAGATAAGGCTGTAAGGCTATAATATAGATCTAATTATTTTCTGTTTACTGAAATACTGGAGCACTAGATACTGGGCTGGGTTTTAGAAGGACAACTTTTGGTAAATACTTTGACTTTTAGAATTAGCAAGTAATTTAATAACTATGCTGCCCTAAAATCAATTAAGTCTTCTTTTAGATGAAAATAAATTCACTGTATATTATACAAATAGGATATTTACACAACCAGCTATCTTTTTTGTTGTTGTTGTTGTTGTTGTTTTTGTTTTAGAAATGTTGGAATTTTCTGTGGTTTTTTTTAATCATTTCCAATGTACTCCTCATTTATTAGGAGCACAAATGGACAACTGTCACCATGTCCAGCTATGAATCAAGCCTTTCTCTTTGAAAAAAGACTCTGTTGAACTTTGGCAGCAATTTGTTTATTTCATTTGCTTAACATCACTTACAGAGATCCGGGGAATGTTTGATCATGTAAAACTATCTGGCAGACTGGACATACTTTTAGATTTCTGTTGCAAGAACAAGTGTGTAAATTTAGATTGATTTCAGAGAAGACTGATGATATTTGTTGGTGACATATTGCTTCATACAATAGCAATTAAATGCAATGCAGTGAAACAGCATTTCTTCCCGAGACTTCTTGTTTTATTTACTCTTTTGTAACACGGATATGTCTCAGGTCATAAAACTGGACCACTAAGAAATTTAAAACAAGGAGTTTTCAAATTACAATTTCATCAAAATACAATTTCCCTGAGGGGAAAATCCCAAAGGAATGAATAAAGTTTCTATCTATCTATCTATCTATTAGGGGGGAACATTTAAACTTAGCAGACAATAAGTGAGAAGCAGTTTCATTTCAGTCATGCTGAAGGTCTTTGGAGCATGAACAGCTGATTCCTGCAATTATGCTAAGTCTTTCAAGTCCTGAAGCATTAAAAGAGCCACCTTTAAAAAAAATGACAAAAACACAAGTATTACTGTAATATTTTTTAAGCATGCCTCTTGTAAAAAGCATGAACTTCAGCACCATTCCAATCAACCTTTTTCATTGTCATATTATATGTGTGTGTGTGTGTGTGCGTGTGTGAGTGTGTGTCCGGGGGTGGGGTGGGGGCAAGGTCATAACTACATCGCCCCCCCGCCCCCGAGACGAAGACACGTGAAATGTAAAACTCGCTAAATTTACCCCATTATGTGTGCAAGGTGAAGGAGCATCAGGGTGTGCTGAAGTGTATGTGAAGACACGCCGCCCCCTCCAGATGGAGTTTTGACGCCCCCTCTGGTGCAGCGCCCCTATGCGTTGCATGCGCTGCATACCCACTTTTTGCGCCACTGGGTGGGGGGGAGGTCAGACAGATGAGGAAGCAGGTCATAAAGTTAAATAATCTCACTAACAAGTGTTTGGGACAAATTATTGTTATTCAGCTGAACTAACATGACCATGGCACACAGAAAGTGTGTTTCTATAGTGTAAATCCACTTTATGAAAAAGAAAAACGATTCATTCACTAAAAAAAGAAACAGACGAGAAAAAAAAATGCTTAATTCCAATTAAATTTGTTATTATTTCTGGTAAGCAATGTTTAGCCCTGCTAGAATGGTAATGCAATGCAAAATTAAAAGCTTGGTGGCTATAATAATCCTTGGAAACAGATAACTGATACGTCAAACAAACGGAGTCTGTCTTTCATTTACACTTTAGGAAAATAGGTACCAAAAAAAAAAATGCTCTTGTGGAACACTGACGCATTATTTGCAAGTTAAATAGTATATTTATGACACCACATAGGCATCTATGCCTATGTGGTGTCATAGGCAATGCAGATTTCACGAGAACCATGTAACAGACGCAGCTGTTCATTAAAGCCGGACTTAAACTTATGTTTTCTGCCTTTGACCAAATTAATTTCTTCCGTGTGCTCTGAAAATGTCACCACTGGTTGCACATCATCGCTGGATGCTGGTTTTAAAGATATCTATCTTCTTTTTGGGGTTTGTCTTCCAGAACATCTTTTGCGAAGCCACAGGTAAGTAATGAAAGGATATTGGTGATGGATATGTGTTGTTTAACGTTATTGGTTCAGTGATTCAGCTGGTGTTTCTTACAGATGGAAGTTTGTTCAAAGACATCCTGTTTATCAGCCCTTATACTCCAGCAGAGATGTACACCTCTAATGCAAGTTTCCCATCAAGTAAGTTTGGCTTTACAAAGATGAAATTCTGTCCTTCTTAAAGTAAATATAACAAACACTAGCAAATATACTGTGGTTTTGTGTGTGTTTTTAAGAGGTCATCTTTCAAGAGGAGAATAACACTAAACTGTGTTTTAACATCCAGGCAAACAAAATAGCAGGTACAGTTTTCCTGGTCCATTTTGGAAATAACCATGACAGTTTCCATCTTGGTGACTAAATGTTTATGGCTGAATGTATTTTCAGAATGTTGCAGCAATTTCAACTGCAACACAACAGTAATTCGGCACAACAGCACCCATTACCATCTGAATCTATCTGAAACATCTCTACAAAAGCATGACGTTGTATTGCTGCTGAACACATCTTACAATTTCTCATGTTTTCCATCATTGTTCTACAATTCAGGAGGCAAGTCATTTGTTTTTGAACAGCAGGGCAAGGTTGCCCCCTATTGGTGATAAAGTGTATATTTCTCCTCTCATTATATGACTTCATTTTAAAATGAACCATCTTTATTTCACCTTCAGGTTTTATCCTAAATCTTCACAGGTGCTTAAAACCAGGTACGTTTGTCCATCAGCATAAGGTTTGTTAGCAACAATATTGTTCCTAACAAGGTTTTATGTTTTGCTTTAAGGTGGCAAGAATATCAGACTGAGTGAAGAGGACCTATGTGGAAACAAGAAGATCATTCAAGAAGAACAATGTCATGGTAATTTTTGCATTTATAAGTGAATTTATAGCAAATTTCTAACACATATTATTAACAAGATGTGCATGTGTGTGTGCGCGTGTGTGTGTGTGCCTGCAGGTTTAAAAGAGACTGAATACATTGTTAAAATAAACGAATGCACAAAACGTGTAACTTGTAAGGTACCAGGGAAGAAGGCAGAGAAAACTTTAACCTTTAATGCTTCAGAAACACCTGTAAACATAGCGGAAGCAGCGTAAGTCAATTTCTAATCTCAATAACGCTGGGATGACATGAAGACTACAGGCTCTCTGTGTCACTACGTCAGGAATATTATTGTCGACTACTGCTAAATTATTATTTTCAGGAACATCATGAATGATCTTGCTTCCAAACTAAATCTGATGGGCAATGCAAGCACAGCAGAGATCAAGATGGGAAATGTCACTGGGGTGATTGCTAAGCTGCCAAAACAGAATCAAACAAGCATGAACTTTGGTTTCATGTCAGGTGGGAATGTAAATGTAAGTAGTGCTTGGTGACACGAGAAAATAGAGAAGTAAATCTATCATCTGAGTTCTTCTAAGCATATCTCTGCCTGTAACAGATTCTCGAGGAAAATGATGTGGTGATGGACTTCTCTGAAAGTGTTTACCTTTCTGAAGAAGCCAGTAAAATGGCAGTTGAAAACAACGGCTCATTTGCTGGAGTTTTGCTTTTTCCAGATATCCCTCAGGTAAAACCCAAAGATGATAATGTCTTGCTAAAAGTCAGACACTGTAATTTATTATCAACTACATTTCATTCTCAATAGATTGACCAGAGTCGTTCCCTTTTCAATAACGAAATGGTGGGGGTTGAAATGGGAGCAAACATATTTAATCTCTCACAAACCATCAACATTCAGTTCGCTAATGTGAACACGGTAAATATGTTAACAAGTTTCATACTAACTTTTAGTTAAACAGATTAAGGCTGATATTTTTTTTTTCTTTTTTTACCCTGATACAGACTGGATTTAATGCCACTTGTGTCTCATGGGATGGAAAAAATGATAATGGTAGGTTGATTCAATGGCAACACTTTATTTGAAGGGGTGTGCATAAGACTGATATGACACTGTCAAAAACTTGACATAACATCTGTCATGAACATAAAGACGTCTTTATGAATGTTTATGACAGTAGTCATGAAGTGTCATTCGGTAAATAATGACACTTTTAATGCAAAGTTGCTCTAAAAGTTGCATAAAAAGTCCATTAAAAGTGCCAACTTTGCATTAAATTATCATAATTTACAAAGTCATGCAAAGTTGGCACTTTTAATGGACTTTTAATGCAACAGTGCTATGTTAGTCTTATGCACACCCCTTCAAATAAGGTGTTACCGATTCAATTTATGCAGATTTAAAAAATGTCCTATGAAGTTTCTAACTGCAGGCTCAGGAGTGGTATTGAAACATACCAGTTGATTTAACTCGACTTCATTTTAGTGTCTCAAAATCTTAATCTTTCTTTCGAATACTGTAGACTTTAGTTTTAGTTGATGCAAGTCAAAAAGACAACAGGCCTGTGTCCTCTTAACAATTACAGTCTGAGCTATTTTAAGAAATCTTACTTTTTTACTTAATGCAAAGTTTCATAATGTTTCGTCATTGACTGCTCACTTGCATGTGAATGTAACGGCGGAAGAAATAAGATATCCCATATTGTTCTCACCTATGAAAATCCAATAATGTGCTTTCTTTGTGTTCTTATTGTCCTTCAGGCACTGAAGCAAACTGGACCACAGAGGGCTGTCTGACAATAGAGGTCAATGGCAGAATTTCATGCAATTGCTCTCATCTTACATTTTTTGCTATTCTTATGGTAAGAAGATTGTACGCAATATTTTAAAGTCACATTTGACATTTATATGATTTATTAAATACACTTATTTATTTCGAACCAGTCACCGACGGCTGTTGGCAAAGATGGTGGTAGTAATTCTACTGGAATTATAAGTTCCTCTGACTTGAAAACCCTGACCCAAATCACAAAGGCTGGCTGTGGCATGTCCATGTTCTTCCTGGGTGTGGCTCTCTTCATGCATTTTCTGATCAGGTAAAAATATCAAAAAGTCTGCTTTTTGATTTGGATTATTCCTCTCTGAACAATGTTGTTAACACAAACTAATTTGGTTCACAGGAAAAATAAAGCCAGTGAGGCTGTAAAGATCCTCATGAATCTCTTTGTCGCCTTGTTCTTCCTGAACCTTTGCTTTTTGGTAAATGAGTCAATCGCTAAACTGAAGGTCTCAGCAGCATGTGTGGCGATGGCAGCGGCTCTGCACTACAGCATGCTGGCCACATTCACATGGTTCTTCATGCAGGCCTTGCACCTGTACTTCAATCTACATCAGATCTCCACAGATATTAAATATTACATGTGCAAGGTTTGCAGCACAGGATGGGGTGAGAGATCCGAGGGTAAAACATCAGTTTGAGTGCACAGTACAAAATCAAGAAGAAAAATATTTGTGTTTTCTGTCTGTCCAGTTGTTCCAGCTGTGGTGGTTGTTGGACTTCTCGCTTCAAGCAAATATGATTTAATCAAAGTTTCGGATAACAATGGAACCTCAGTATCTATGTAAGGAAACATTAAATATATACTGGATTTTAAATTTGGTTGTCTTTCTCTAGAATAATTGCATTTCTGTCATGACTTTCAGGTGCTGGATCCCTGATTCTACAGTCCACACAGGAGTGAACATTGGTTACTATAGCATTGTGTTCATCTTCACCTTAACAGTTTTTATAGTAACTGTTGTGCAGATCAAACACTTTTCGTCCAAAAAAGCAAAAACCCGGGATAACATCTCTACCAAGAAAAGAGTTTTCTCTCTTCTGGGTCTTTTCTGCCTCTTGGGCATCACCTGGGGATTCGCTTTTTTTAGCTACGGCCCTCTGCTCCTTCCCTCCTACTACGTCTTCACCATCCTCAACTCCTTTCAAGGTAGGATGAAACATGACCATTAACATTTTGAATTTCACAGTAAATAAAACTGAAAAATGAGCAAAACAACCCATTCTGTGTTTGCAGGATTTTTCCTGTTTGTCTACTACTACTTTTCAAGCAGGGTGATTCTAGACAACACTAAAGAATCTAAAAGCAGCAGTAGGCCCACCGAAAATGTGTACACGTCATCTGCCCATGGATAAGTTACTCAGTCCCACATTCTTGGTTTCTCACACTAATATTGACTTATTGTATATAGGAAACTGAGCTTGTTTAATCAAATGGGGCTTTAAATGACAGTTCTAGAAATAAAACTTCAAAACATTTTCTGCTGGACTTTGGGCGTTGAGTTTGGTTACACTTTTCAAATGGCCAGACTGAAAATCTTTGGGTTGATCTGAAAAGATCTGTGAGCAAAGATTCTCTCAAAATCTGACACATTTAGGGGATTTTGGCAAAGAAGAGTGAACAGATATTTCCAGGTCAAGATGTCCCAATAAATTTTCACCTTAAAGACCCAGCATTTTTCTTTGTAAATAATGTTATGTGTTCTTTCAAGTGAGTTGTAAAACATTTTGTTTATATGGAACCTCTGAAGACACTAAAAAAGAAACATTAAGCATGTCTAATATTTGTTTAAGTCAACAAGAGTAGTTTGGGAGAGTTTTGGGTAACACTTTATTTGAAGGGGTTTGAATAAGACTGTCATGACACTTTCATAAACATGACATAACACATGTCATGCACATGAA